CAGCCACCCTGGCTACGGCTGCTGGCTCTCGGGCATCGACGTCAGTACCCAGATGCTTAATCAGCAATTCCAAGAGCCCTTCGTAGCAGTGGTTGTAAGTACTGGCTGGTGGTTGGTAAAACTGCATAGCAAATTATGTCGAGGGGGGAAAAATTTTAAGATTTCTGTCTGTTTATCTTCTAATAGTGTGTATTTTGCATGATGGAAGTGTTAGATCCACATTTTAAATTGGTGCCACTCTTTTTGCTTTGCTGGCCACGCACTGGCCAAACCAGTACTATCACTTGCCTAGACCATTCTCACTGCATTGTTCCAGCTATGGGGCTCTTTACAAAGCCATACATTACTCTTAATAAAATGTTCTGCTTGGTACTTTTGCAAAAAAATAAATGTATTGAGCAATCCATATTTAACCTCCTATGATAAAAAAAAAAATCTGTTTCTTTTGTTCTCTTCCTTCTTCTGTCGAAACACAGCAAAACGTGTTCACTGTATCTAAATGCCTTTTAAGTCGATGGCATAGCACAAGGCAGAAGACAGTAGGAAATCTGTCTTGGAGGAAAAAAATCTGAATAAAATCTTTGGCTCTTCAGGTTCTCCCAGGCTTCAGATCACATTTGAAATCTAAAGTAAACCTTACTTTAGGTACTACTTGTATAACCATTGGTACTGAAGGAAATTAAAGAAAAAATACTGAAATCAGTCAGAAAGAAGGAATATAATTGATGGAAGAATTACATAGAAAAAGATAAGTGACTCTTTAGAAGTACTTCTACCCTATGAATTCTCCTGTTATGAAGGAGAATTATATGTTATAATTATTACAATGTCACAGATTCAGAACACTTTCCTTGGGACTGCCTTTTTCTTTTTTCTTCTTTAGTTACTATTGAAATTAAACAGGCCATTAGTATGTGCATTAAGTAGGAGATTCCTTCATTAGTTTCCTACATTTTGCACCAAAATGCAGCAGGTCATATAATATTTTTTCGTTCTTCTAGAGGTTATAAGATTAAAATACAGAATTTTATTATGGTTTTTTGATTGTTCTGAAGTACAATTTCTTTTAAATTTCTTTGCAAAAAAGGAAAATTAATTTGAAAAAACTGGTCCCCAGGTTATTGATATTTCTGCCTTTTTTAGAGAGTCTCATACCAATGCAAAATGTACTGTTTGTGACAAAATTAATCCAGTTGGCACAAATTAAATTTCTGAAATACAGTTACTGTAGAGTTAATGTATGCCTGTAATAATTTATAAAATGCATATAACAAGTATTACCTGTATTTCTACAGATTGATCCCACAAGAACAATATCTGCAGGAAAAGTAAATCTTGGAGCATTTAGGACATATCCTAAGGTAAATAATTAAAATTATCTAGTGTGTGGTCACTGAACTGTCTTTAAATAAATATAGATTGGTTCTAAAGATTAATGCAGTTTGAACATCTGAGTTTGATCTCCGGTGCTGTCCTATATGGCATTGTTCAGTCCAAAAGGAGGATGTGCTGATATTCTGATTATTGCATGCCTTTGGATATTGATTAGGTTAACGAAGGCTGACTTCTAGTCTGGTTTTCATAGTTTTGGCAGTGTTAAATGCACTGTCTAGATTGTAGAGCTGTCCTAAAATTATAGAGCTCCATATGTCCATTTTTAATGGTTGTAGGTAGCATTCATCAAAAAAGTTTTGTGTTAATTCTTTATTTTTTAGACCCAAAACCAAATGCTAATATTTAAAATGTTGTAATTTGATTTCCATTTGAGAAACAGAGGATTCAAAACTTACTTACTTAATTTTCAAATAAATATTATGAATCTTCACAAAATAATGTACAAAAAAGTTAATTAAACAATATGGGAAGGTTAGGCTGAAAACGAGAAAAATCACATAAATTCAGAAATCTGGAGCTCCAAACAGTGTCTCTCATGTAGACTTTCAGCAGAGACATAACTGCTATTTAGTTTCAAACTAACGAAGTTCAGGTATATCTTTTTATATAACCAGACTCATCATGAACTTCAGACAGGGACCTTGTAAAACTGGAATTAGAAAAAAATCTTGTGAGAGGTCCCGAGCTGCATCCAAAAATTATCTTTGTGTTGACAATTAGATGAAAGATCTTCTCAGAACAGTTTGTCATTGAGGAGAATATTCCCTTCTGTGGGCAAAACCACTTCATAAATATTGTCAGAATTTTGAGCAGGGAGAAGAATCTTGCACCTGCAAACCAAATAATATTTAGAAAATGCACATGGGAAGTGTATTTTTAGGGAGTCCTCACAGTGAACTGTGGGCAGTTCTTCCTTAGTCCGTAGCTGTGAGTGGCACCATCTTGGCAAAATAAGTACCTGAAGTTTTGGATATCCCTAAGGCGTATCCATAGATGTTTCTTCCCTCTCTTCCTGTTTCCTATCTTCCCTCAAAAGAGGATTGAAATCATTTCCAAGAACAGGTAGAGAAATACTATCTTGGAAGCAGCTTGCCTTTTCATTGACCTAAGAATGGTCTAATCATAGCCTGCCATGTTACTCCGTTGAAAAAACTCAACTGTGACAACTGGTTTGCTTTTGATAGACCTGCAATGTAATGAATGCTAGTAAAGCTGAGTGTAAACCTGAGATTCAAAAAGATTCTGAATTTCTGGTTACTGGAGGAAATGTCATTTTCCCTAGGAAAAATAAACTGGATTTTTTTTGTGAAGTGCTTTCTAGAGTTTAAGCATTTTAAAAAAGTCTCAGAATTACTGTGTCATTTTTGCCCTGTGTTGACTTTTTAGGGCTATAAACCTCCAGATGAGGGGCCCTCTGAATACCAGACTATTCCACTTAATAAAATAGAAGACTTTGGTGTACACTGTAAACAGTAAGTAACATTAAAGCTACTAATTCTAGCATTTTTTGTGTTTAGGTTAGTGATTCAGTGTGGAAAAGTGATTTCTTGGAGTGATTCATATCTTGCAGTTGATTGTTGCTTTAGCACTGTTAGGTTTGTGAAAAAGTGTTACTGGCATTTATCAGGAGATGTTTTAAGGGAGAATTGTTGCAAAGATGAAGATGAACCTGGTTGAAAGCTTTTTAGCAGATAATTTCTGAGCACCTTTAGTGCCTTGTTCCGGCAGGGAGGAAAGGGTCAGATGTAGATTCTGATTAGTGGCAGGTGCTGTGCATTCTTATCTTGCATCACTGGGTGTGGAGAGGATGTTTCAGTCTTTGGTAGGGTTGGAAAGTGGAGCTGCTTCAAGGGTAAGATCTGTAACAGGAATTCCTGCTTTTTCTCTCTTGCTAGTTTACTTTCCATAAATTAAAAAGGTAGTTTAGTTTTAACCATTCTTTCGCTAGCTGTTCTATCCCCAGTCATATGTGCCTCACTTCATACCATACTTACTTTTCAAGGCATTTTGCTTTGCCAGGTCAGTCCCCTGATCTGGGCTAACTTGTGGGAGCACACAGGTCCTTGCTGGGTAAGATGAGGTGGGGTGGAAAATAGACACGTATGTTGGAGACACAGTGTTTGCAAAGAACAGCCAAGGATGGTATGATCTTCTTTCACCAGCAACCTGGTTTCAGTTCTGCCTTCAGCATCTGTGTGCAGAGAACTTGCCAGTCTTGTTGACACCAGAGTGATCTGTGGGCTGTTGCACAGGGTTTTCTTTCATAGTTTTGGTGCATGGATATCTGTTCTTCAGTGCTTTCACAGTTGCATGCAAAGTCTGAGTCTGAAGTGATGAAGAAATTCAAACAATTGGACTTGGTCTTCCTATCTACAGTATAGAAGAACCCAAGCATGGAGCAGGGAATCACTGCATTGCAGAAGTTGTTGTTAAGAGAATAATTAAAAAGGCCTTGTAATCTCATGAAATAGAATACAGCAGCATGTGTGGGGATTATGTACTGTATTATTGTATTAAAGCTATATATTAATTACTTATGGAAAACCTTACACTTAAAATTGGAACTGTGGGTAACTTTTATTGTTAAAGGCTTTGAATTTTTGAAGATATTTGCCATTGGTAAGGATTTTTTGAATTGCATGTGCTTTGGGTATGACAGTCAAAACATACTTAGATGGAAGCTAAATTTTTTTTGTTTGCTTGTTTATTTTTAAAGGTATTATGCTTTAGAAGTCTCATACTTTAAATCATCTTTGGATCGTAAATTGCTTGAGCTTTTGTGGAACAAGTACTGGGTGAACACCCTCAGCTCTTCTAGTTTGCTTACTGTAAGTACCACAGTGTTCTAACATGTGCCTTTATTCATTCATGAGTGCTGAAAGCCAGACCCTCTGCTGTGATGGGTACAGCTCCCACATTAAGAATCTATCAGATTATACAAGAAAGGAAGTTTTTCCTAGTCATAAATACCAAAATGTTCCTCACATCTGCTCTGTAGAAGTAGAAGGTGAGAATAACATATGTTTAATTTTACTGAGTTCTTTCTATACACTTAGATTTTGTCTTAAACACCTTTTAACCTTGTATCTCTTCTCAGCACTATAATGAATAATATACCTTAAAATAATGGTGTTTAATAAGTAAACACTTTTAAAACAAAACAATGGAACTGTTAAAACAAGGTTGCAGCAGAAATCCTGCTGGTACACCTTCAGTTTAAAAGCTCAGCAACAAAACTTGTTTTCTGCAGAAGCCAATTTTATACTTTCTGTCTTGGGCAAAACCAACTTTTATTCTCTCATAGCTTAGGGCATGGGTTGAAAGTCATAAAGAGTTCCCATTTCAGGCTGTAGGGATTGAGGATTTTTCAGAGGTTCAGATTCTGTTCTCTCAGGCACCACCCATGTGTCATTCATGTTCTGCATCACTTCAGTTGCAGGTACAGGTTAAAATATTCAGCACAACAGTCTTACAAGCTCTTTTCAGACTTTGTTTATTTTGTGTTGAATTTCTAACTTAGAATTCAATGTTTATTGACTTCTTTCTCCTAAGAATGCTGACTACACCACTGGCCAAGTCTTCGATTTGTCTGAAAAATTAGAACAGTCAGAAGCTCAGCTTGGGAGAGGCAGTTTCATGCTGGGATTAGAGACTCATGACAAGAAATCAGAAGACAAACTTGCAAAAGCAACAAGAGACAGGTAAGATAATGCACACACATGTTCTTCCCTGTAAAAAGTGTTCCTTTGTTTTAAACTTTTATCATGCCTGTCATTGTAAACTGCCAAGGTTAGAGATAAGAATCATTGGATTATAGATAGGAATGAGAGACTCCAAATGTCACTAGTTATTTTTGAAAGTTTAAGAAAATCTTGCCTTTATTAAGCCTCCAGTGACTTTTCAATCTTTATTCCTGGAATAAATTCAACTCTGGTTTTCTAAACAAAAAAATCCCTGTAAAATTCAATCAGTGTACAGCAAGCAAAACAAAAAAATAGATGTTTTCTGTCGGTGCAGAATTGTAACATTGCTAGAAAATTGCACATTTCTGTGGTTGATCAGATTTAAACTAACAAGAAATAAAATTATTGTACAGAACAAGATTTTAAGAACTAGTGCTAACAGTCCAGCAATTTTAGTTTACACTTGTGTAATACTTTTACTCACTTAAAAATTAAGAACTCCCTTTTATAATGTTTCTTAATTAATATATCCTTTTTCCACAAATAAGGAGGGGTTTTTTTGCTGTTTAGTTTTTGAGAAGTAGATTACAGATATTCTGGCCTTTATATTTAGCTGCCCTGCCTGACAGCAATTGAATTTATTATTGCTGAGTGTACAGCATTATTTCAAAGAAGTTCAAACAAGTCACACAGTTGAGTTGTTCAAGAACATTGTGTCTGGCGAATTTCAGACTGTAAGTGTTGCGCTGTAGATGCTGGTACAGTCTCAGGTCCATCTGAGGAGAAGACAGGACTCGCCTGCATACACCTTAGGAGAGTTCTGGCTGAGATACAATAATTCCATTCAATAAGGAACAGTTCTGTAGAATCCCTTGAAACAGATTGCAAACATTGAAAAAAATCTGGAGTGTTCTACTTCTCAAATTTTGGGGTTTTCCTGGCCTTCTTCCTCATCCTTTTATCCTGACACGTAGAACAGCTTCCTGTTACTCTCTCTCCCCACACACCTCCATGTTAGTGCAAACTTCGCTAAGGAACTGATTTTTGACATACCAGATGAATGGTGTCTTATTAGATAGGTAAAAAAAAAATCAAGTGATAAATAGGAGCTCTTGTATGAACACAAATTACTTTATTTACACCTTGCTCACTATGAGTCAGGTGAACATGTGCTTTGCCTTAATAAAGAGACGAGTCAGCCTGTGTTGGACAGCCTTTGTTCCCCAGTAAGCAGTGGGGAAATTCCTGCAAATGTAGCATGGTTATTGCTGAATAGAACCAGAGTTGCTGTTGTGCTGGTGTCCTGTGTTTGTTTCCTTGTTATGGGAAGTTCACAGCTCTCACAAGGTTTCTGACACAAATGGTCTTCTAGAAGTTAGTACTCATTTGGACTATTTCAGTTGCAGAATAATGTTTGCAGTGGCATTAAGGCTGTTGCTAACTCACAACAGCCAGGTTAAGAGCTCACTCCCAGTTCCTGTAGTGAAAGAGAATAGCAGTGCTTTAAAGACATGAGAAGGATGGACTTGCTAACAAGTTTGCATTGATTTAGATCTGTTTGGTTTCCCATAATACTGCCTGCATTTTATTTTCCCATTACCCTGATGTGCTTACAGTCATTCTAAATAATAACTCCTCTGATCATCCTACTATGTTATTTCTTGCAGTGGTTCTAGGTATTTTTCTTTTCTGGTTTTATTTAGTCTTCAACAGTAGTTAGTTTATAAACTGTAAGACTGGAAGGGATTGTTGTTGTCATTAATTCTACTTTCCTGTGTAAAAAAAGCTATGGTAGTTCCTGGGTAGTAACAGTTTTACAGATGCATGTTTTGCTTCAACTAGTAATCTTTCCTAAGGAAAGAGAAAAAACAGTAGAAGACTTGTGGGGACACAGGGCAGTTGATTCAGTGGCACTTAAATTGCTTTGAAGAAATAAGGTTGCAAAGTTTACTAAAGGATTATTGGATGTGCCTGTTGTAGGAAAAACAGTGCTGTAAGGTGCTTACACTGGGGTGTATGATAACTTCTGTCACTGTACATACACATCTCTAAGAGGGTACATATGCATTAGCCAAATTGTGCTCCGAGTCAGCTTCCTTTCCCGGGATTCCTTTATCTGTCTAGCAGTAATTTGTCCCTATTCTCCACAACTTCAGGGCTGATTCAGCTTTTGCATTTGTATATTCTGGTTTTATTTATTAGTTTGTTGCTACATTCCTCTAAGCCAGACACTGGGGAAAACATGGATCTATAGGAATCCTCTCAGCTATTTTGACTAACAAATGATTAGGTCTATAAACTCTTCCTTTAATGTTCCCTGTAAAGTTTCTTGGAGGAGCCATGGTCACTCTGCACTGCTGGCCTGGGGTTGGGCAAAGGAGATAAGGTAGAGAACAGTGAGAGCCTTCAGGTATTGGTAACAGCTGATACCTCCATTCCCCCAAGGATTTAAATTTTTTTTTCACTTTTTTTTTTTGTTCACATGACCACAGAGCACACTTGGTATTGTTAATGTAAGATGTCCTAAATTGCCAGAAAAAGAAGTTTTCGGGATTGGTCTTTGTGTGTGTAGTCAGTTTGCTTTTTTAAGTAACAAAAGCTATTGGCAACAATGGTAAAATTTCTTCATGTGACTTTTCCTTTCTGGACAGTTGTTAAAATTCATGGGGTTATGGGCACCCTGAACTTCAAAAACAGCTGAATATCTTCAAAGAAAATGACAGTTAAGTTCAGTTTTTGGCCAACCTTGAATTTATGCTTGTTTTTCAGCTGCAAGACCACCATAGAAGCTATACATGGATTGATGTCTCAGGTTATTAAGGATAAACTTTTTAATCAAATTAATATAGCTTGAAGTGCATCACCAGCTGATATGCATCTCCAAAGCAGAAAATATCATCGTTTCTTTTGCTTGGACTTGTTCAATTTGGGAAATGAAGCTGGAGTGGAAAATTATTCATTTAATTTGTAGTACTTTAATATTTCCCACCTGTCTGACCAGTTTTAAAGAGCAAAATGTTCTGAAATGTAGTGCAACATTTTTGTTCTTTATCATAAAACAACCAGTTTGGAGAATTGTTCCAAAAGAAGAATAAATTTGACTTTACTGGATTTTGCTCTTAGGTATTTATCTCTATTATCCAACTGCAATAAAAGAATTTTGGAACTGAGTGAGTGTTTTGGACTTTGGTATTTTTGGCAAACATTCATCTCCTCTTACTCTTTTTCTTATTGTTCTGTAGAAAAGTTCTGTCTACTCATTAGATTAGACAGGTAACTTGTGCAGTATTAGAAGTTTGTTTCTCAGATTTTCATATCTGTTTAGTTTTAGGAATTGAAATCCCATTTCTTTATCTTTTAACAATTAAGTCTTTTAACAATCTTTTAACAGTTAACTCTAATGGAGCCTTTCCTGATTTATGTTTGCTGGTCCAGGCAGAAATGCTTCACACTCGGGCATTTAATGTTTCTAAGTAGTCAAGGAATGACCAGTTCTACAGTAAAACTCGTAATATGGTTATATACCGTCATTTTTCTCCTGCTCACCTTCTGCTGCTCCTCAGAGTCACTTGTTGCAATGCAGAGGAGCAAAATGAAAAATGATTGTCTCTAAAATAAGCATTAGGCTAATTTCAGGCCACAGATACTAAATGCATTAATCATAATTGCTGGCTTACAACACGGTGCTGCTGCAGGGCTGATCTGAGTTTGTTTTGGCGGCTTTCGAACTGCATTTCAATAATACAAGATGTTTGGATTTCTTTTAAGTTTTTGTCCTTAATCCTGAGTTTCCTGGGGGTTTTGGAATGTTTACTTTTGGGATAATTTATGTTTGATACAATTTGCCATTATGTTTTATACCTTAAGAAACTGATACTCCTTTTCAACCTTAACTCTGCCTTGATGTGAGTTTTGTTTTTGTTTTGGTCTGGAAATTTTAATAGCTATTACTCATTTGAGGCTTTTCATCCAAATGGATTCCAACATATTTGAAGCCAAGAATCAAGTTATAATTAGTAATTCAGCAGGGAAATGCAGGTACCCTGAAGCAGAAATTCATCAAGAGTTTTAAAGAAGCAGCATCCAACAGTATTAGAAAAACATGTTTAATCAGAGCTAGTAAAGTTGAGGTAAATATCAGATGCAGTTTGATAGGAGAACAGTTTTATTTTTCTTCCAGCATGACTGTTGGTGGGGAGGCAGGAGAAGTAAGCTGTGGTGTTGTACTATTCAGAGCTATTAATTGTCTTGGAAATTGCAGCAGTAGACTTCTGTACAAGCAAGCACAGTACATAAGCACACAGCAGTTCCTTTTAAGTTCAAGGAAGACACAGCAAGTGTAACTTGCCAGTAATTTTTCCTGCTTACTTTCTTCCATGGGTGTTTAAGACTTTAAAATTAGCACACTGCCATTTAGCCATTGTCCCACTCAGTCTGTGTTTGCACTAAGAAGTGCACTGCTGTTGTGAGATAGCTTATATTTTCTGATAGGTATTTTTGTTGCCACTTTATAGAATTCTCTTTGCATAACATGATCCAAAAGTTTTGAACCCCTTGTACCTACCTAAAATATAAAATAATAGTTTAATCTCATTTTGGTCTATTGATTATATTTAAACTCTCCTTGTTTGTGATAACCATGAGCTGAAATTTTTTGCATGTAGGCTCACACCCAATGTTTTTTATTCACAATTTAAAATAGCAAGTTGGTTTATAAATCATAGCAATCTGTTGATGCTTGAATGCTGATGTAAACAGTTGTCTGTTGAGTTACTGTCGTGTTACCTGCTGAGCATATAATGTTGTAACTCAGTTTCAAGTCCTACATGTAGTGTGGCTATACCTGTGGCCTGCACAGGATCCTTTATGCAGTGTTCAGGAGCCAAAATAACTGTCTTGATCTTTGATCAACCATTTTTAATGCTAGTGTTATTCCAAATTCTGAGATCAGAATTCCATGCATTGAAAATGATTACCACAAGGGAGTCATCCATATCTACACACACACACAAGAGTATTCTGAGCCCTGGAGAATCACTAATGGATACAGAGTACACCTTAATTCTACCAAATAGCTTTGAGACTTCGAAAATATTAGGAATAAGGGCATTCTTGAGAACAATGCATGTTGTGTATCAACAAATGTGTCAATTTATTCTTACATATTTTCACTTCCTTTTTCTTTAGAAATTAGTTTATCCAAGTGAGTGCCACATAGCAGGTAATTGACAGCTGGAATAATGCAGTATGTACTAAAGCACATACAGATAGGTTCTCTTAGATTTTTTAGCAAGCATTCATTCCAAAATTCAGAGTGCCATTGACATTTTAATAAATAAAAGTCTTAATTTAATGAACACAATTAGTAGATTCGTCTAACAGCATTTCTTTGCCAACCTATTAAAGCTATGGAATGCTGAAAGTGCTGAATTGTGTTTGAACTTCTTCCCTATCCTGTTCTTCTGTTGAAGAAAAGAACAATGTTCCTGCATGCTCACCTTTCTTGTGTATGCAAATTGCATTTTTAAACAATTTATAAATGCTAATATCAACAAAATGCAAATAAATATATGCATATTTGTGACAAATACCAAGGACTAAGCTGTAATTCTGGATAGAGTACCAGTTTGCCTTACTATGCACAGGCCTCAGGAAGAGCCATTCAGATTTATTCTGTGATTACTGGGACAAAGGTGCCTCATTATCCTATCAGACCTCTTTTTCCTTTGAAATTCCCTTCAAATGTTTGGTAAGAAGTGGAATAACAGCTCCTATAAATTAATTTTCTTGTGTGAAGGTTGAATAGTTGGGTTTCTGTTCCAAGATGGAATGAGAAAAAAAAACTTACTTTTTCTTTTCTACATTTACTGCAGGGAGTAATGCAGCTCTGAGAGACTGACTGCCTTCTATTTCTGTTCAGCTCTTGTCCTAACTTCCACTCTACCCAAAATGCAAGCAGGCAAGAGAAGGTGAGGGGTTGTGGGAAACCATCTCTAACGGCAGCTGTAGGATTGCTGCTGGGGAAAGGCACCTGAACCTGGACACGTTTCCACCTGTTTTGAATGGCTCTAGTACCTTTATTATTTCAAGTTCTAATAGCTTGACATGTGGCAATGAGCAGTTTTGTTTGCCTTCCCCTCTACCTGTATGATTTGTTATATCATCGCCTCAGCCTTGTCTCTAAATTGAGAAGTTTCAGCTTTTAAATTATGTTATTATAAGGCTGCCACTTTACCCACTTGACCATTTTAGTTGCTCTTCATACCATGTTTCACATCCTGCTTTGGCCTTGACACACAGAGCCCAGAACTGCACTGTACTCAAGATTTGGGTGCACCAAAGTTTAGAGAGAGGCAAAATAGTTCTTCCTTCTTCCCTTGTAAAGAGGTAATTAGGTGATCAGGCAGTTAGGGTCTTTTTTTTCTAAATCTGCACCCAGCAGCTCCCATCTGGCTACCCTGAAGCCCTCAGATTTTCACAAACTCAGCACTGATGTGCTTGCCTGGGTATCTTACATTAGATGTCTGCTGGAGACTGAGCCTTCCTGAAGGATTAGACCTGATTGGGAGCTTTAAGTAATAAGTTTGATGCACTGAGGAAAGCCAAATTTTAAAAAGTGGTTCAGTACCAAAAGCTCTTTGGCACCGTTACCTATTGACACCTGGGCTTTGTTGCAAAGTCTGTAATCTTTACTTTTACAGGCAGTCATTGTATGAACAGCTTCACTGAAGTTAAGAAATATTTTTGCTTCAGAAAAAAAGCTAATAAAAAGGCTAACCTTAACCTTTTGCTTTTGAGCAGTATTGCAACTTCTTCAGTCGTCCCGTACCTCACATTAATGCCAGGTCATAAAAAAATATTCCTTGAGCTTTTCATAAATTATTTTTGATTCTAGTACTGGAATAACAGGCAAGTGTGACCTGGCTACAACAGCTCTGTTCACCATCTATCTTGGATACTCCTTGGAGAATTCCTCTTACCCCGCAAAGTCCCCGTTCAGACCCAATTTGACAAGGAACTCTTGTTTTCCTTGCCTTTGGTGGCAGTGTGTGCACATGAGCTTGGATTAAATAGAATGAGCTCTTTTAAACTTGATATTCAGTAAATGAAGCATAATATTTCTGCTTTTCTATCACTTGTGCCTTTATAAAGTTGACTGCAGCTGGTTTTGGATGTTTTGGCTTTACCTTAACCTGTCTAGTGTTCCATGAAATGTCAGTGTGCCAGATACAGTTGCTTTAGAAGGGATAAGGTTGCCATGAACTTGGTTACAGAATCACTCCTGCACAGCATAGTATTTTGCCCCAGGCATGCAGTGTTTCTATAGTACTCCTCTATTTATTGTGAACTGTAATGCCAGTTCATTAGTTAATGTTTGTGAAAAATGGAAGAATCCAAGCTGTAAAACTAATTGCTGGTGTGTTACTATTTTGTTTATAAGGTTAAAAAGACACTAAATATAATTAAACTTTAATTAGCTTACTTATTTTCTCCCCTTTGCTAAATTTTGGAGGGTTTTTTTGTATTTTAGGTCAATCTTTTAAAATAAGCTTGGTATGTTGTTTTTTTTATTATAAATACACTGTTAATTTTATCTGGTTTTATTCCTGCACTGCAAAAAGTCCAAATCAGCATTGGACTCTCATTATGCTACTAACGTATAATGAATATATGTTTATATACAGCAGTTCAAAACCTGCCACTCCAGCAAGTCTGTGAGGTGAACTGCTCTGGCTGACACACTCTGGGGCAGAGGATTGTGCTGGGCAGCCATGGAGAGTTTTCCTAAATCATCAGAAACTGAGAGGAAGCACAAAGGTTAAGGCACATCAGGAGGAGAAGATTGACCGGTGGTACCACTCTACCATTCCTGAGACAAATGCTCCAGCCATATCACAAGAAGTGATCTCCGACCCTCTCACCACCAGGCAGAAGGAGAGGACCTGTGAGATGGTGTGGGGGAGAATGGAAACAGGTCTCTGCTCAGGGTGACAGGCGAATCCCCTCACAGCCTACCCCACCTGCCCACGTGCTCTTACACAGTAGGTGTGTGGCTCTGGAACTTGAGGGCCAGGTAAATGACAATGAAGGATGAAGGTTCAGCCAGATTGGAGGGTTTGGCTAGGTCAAGTCAGACAATCCCATGCATCACAGGCACCTCTGTGGA